TGACTGGTTTATAGCTATGTAAAAGCAAAATAATGTATGCAATTTTCTAAATTCATTTTATAACACAAAAGGATTGCCTTTTTAGATTTCTTACATATGTGCTATGAGAATGCCAATGCATTTGATATTAAAATTATCTCCAGAAGTTGCTGACTGTGGTTGTCACCATTCTTTTCCCAGCTGCTACAATTAACTCACAAGATCAGAGTAACACAGGCCACCTGACTGCTTTTAAGGTACATGCACAGTGTGTGTGTCTTGGGTTCCTTGTTGCTGAAATGGCTCCCGAGGTATTACAGAGTTTTTTTTCCCAGCCCTGCACTTGAAGAAGTTGTTGGGATTCCTCAGCTCTGGTTTTCAAGGTTGTTTATTTTCTCTTATCTAATACATTCTCTTTTGGACCTGCAGAGGTTTGTCCAGAAGGTCAGGTTGAGGCACTCTGACCGCCCTCAGGGCAGTGTTCTCTTTTTATACTAAAAACCATTTGTAGTTTATTTACAATAATTTTCCAATACCTATCACCTGTGTTAGACAGTCTGTCTCTACTCTAAACCAATCCAGAAGTGCCACCATCACAGCAGAAGGTGGAGGACAAGAAGAAGAAGGAGGACAGGACATGCCCAGATTCCTCCATTTTGCCTCTTGAACCCCTGTGTTAAATCCCCAAAATTCTACATTTCCCCTCTGTGATATATCCACTATCATTCAGTTCAAACCTTGTAACTCTTTGCACAAAGTTGGTAATTGTTTCCATAGGTTAAAATCAAAGGCACAGATGTCTTTGACTCCATGCCAAGGTCTCTGAGCCCCCTGCCAGGGTCTTGAGTCCTCCAGGGCAGTCAGAGGAATGTCCTGGGTTCTGACATGTGTGTTTTAAACCCAAATGTCTCACCCAGTGATTTATGGGGCCATCAGCTACAACCCACCCCATTTCCAGCCATTTGCATATACCAGCTATGTGGTAAATGCTAGGAAGTGTCTCTGTGGAAGAAGCTGCATTCCAGGTACCTTCATGCTTCCTTTTTACTTGCTGGAACTCCCCAAAGTTAACTTTTTAACCAGACTGACTCAGAGACCTTTTTTGCACATCTCTTGTATTTCTATTTCCTGTATAAAGCCGTGTTTAACTGAAAGAGTGGAGTGACAAGGTATTTCAAAGCAAACCAGTCTCTGTAAGGCTCTTTACCCAAAGCTGTGTAATTTTTGTTTTAAGGCAATCAGTTGTAGCGAAATGCACCCATCATTTTCTTTAAAAGAAACTGCTGCATTCTGTCTGTGGGACCAGAAAATTGCTTCCATGAAGACATCTCAGTCATGGAGATCTGTTTAAGGTACTGCACAACTCAAGAAATAAGGTAGAAGTGAAGTAACTTGTAGGAAGTAACTCTGCCAGGAAAAATATAAAAATAGACACTTAGTTTTCATTAAGACCTGGAGAAGTGAAACTGCAAGTAGGTTTTTTGGGGTTTTGTTCATTTTTTAATTTTGAGGGGGCTGCTGTGTTTTAGCCATTGAACTGCAGGCATGGAATAATTGCAGTTCATCTGGGCTTTTGTGGTACTCACCTCCTGGAACTTGATCCTGACATGGGCTTGCAGTGCTTTGGAAGTACTACACCTTAGAAAATAATAAAAAACTTGAGAGCCACAGTAGTAACACTTTCATCTTGGTCAGGACAGAGAAGCAGAATGCTGCTTCTGGCACCCATCCCCCATCCCACAAAAAAAGAAACCCAAACCAGCAAAAAAAGACAACTGTTTTCCAGATGGAAAAGCAGGAGTTGCAGCATGAGACTTAAAAACTCTCAAACTTGAAAATGTGTTGAATAAAACCAACACAAACAGTAATAATTCTGCCCAACCAAACTGAAGATGGAAATTGAAGTTCAAAGAGAAGCACAGACACTGGGATCATCTTTGACTGTTCAACAAGGTAAGAGATTTCTGGTCAGCAGTTGAGAAAAGGAGGAATGCTGGGAATAGGTTTACATTACATGGACAGCATTGATAAGCGTGAGATTAATTTGGTTGATCTCACTTCCTAATTCTTTATGATTCTGTATGATGGAAGAGGTGGCAGTACAACACGCTATGGTGGACTGAATTTCATCAGCTGGAAGTTTAACCAGCCTCAGAATTTGTTTATTCCTGGGAGGTGTTTGCCAGAGCACAAGCAAAAAGTGACATTGGTGAATGCTTGGCCACAGCAACCACAGAAACTGAACAAGTGAACAGGTTTTGTCTAACCTAATTGTCTCTGCTAAACTGACTGGGAATTTTGCTGGTGAATCCTGTCAAATGCCATAAAGCCATCTTTTTTGTACGGTCAGGGAGACAATTAAGATTCTGGATAGTAAGAATCTCATGAGTTTGGAGATAGTGGGTATAGGCCATGGTGTGGCTCTTTATTAGAGGCATTTTCATTATAGTAATCCTTTATTTGACTTTTTTTTAGTTACAGGTGGATTCAGCTGTTTTAATAAATTGCATTTGAAAAACAGGGTCATTATTTAGAATGGTATGTGTGCAGTATTTCAGTGAACATTGCTCTGTAGAGAACTGTAATTTAGCTAATCCCATTTGCTGTATGGAAATACATGTTTCTTCTCAGAAACGCAAACTGTCAGAAAACTGTCTTTATTTTTGGAGGTACTGGGATGACTTGGTGTGTTGTGTCACTAGAATTACACTTCCCTTTTTTTCTCATTCACCAAGAGTGCTTTGCTTGAATAATTTTGAAGACATGCAACTTGGATGCTGAAAATGAAGAATTATGTTTTCTGATACAAAGTGTTACTGTAAAGGCTTTTGTCAAACCGAGGAAGGAGTTAATTTTCCACAATTATTTTGGAAATCTAATGCAAGAATTGTTTTGCTTATTTTAAGAAACTTTAAAAGATTATGCTTTTAGATATACCTTTTGCTATAATAAATGTAGGAGATTTTCAGCTGTTGCAAGTCTACATTGCAGTGCTGAAAACACTTGAATATAAAATTGATAGCAAACTAATATTAATAAAACTGAATTTACAGTTTTAAATTATTTTATTTCACAGAAACTGACGTAACCATACCATATAAAACAAATTATTTTTATATCGTTCACATTCTGAGTACCTTTGAGTACTTTGTTGATGAAAGAAACAACAATACTGTTAATCTAAAAAACACTCCAAGAAAACTTTTAACTGGATTTCATATTTTTACTGAAGTATGTGTGTTCTGTAAAGGGATTAGTTGTCGCATGTTCTGGAGGTAAGATAGCTTTTACCTTTATAAGTGTGTGTTGCATTTCTAACCTTGATCCAATTGCATTTGTGCAGGGTAATGCGAGCCAAAGCATTCATGACATTGAAAGCATGAGTTTCTATAGAGGATTAAAACATAAAGCTGCTCTGTGTTGGATCCAGGGTCACAGTAAAGATACCCAAGCTGGCCTCAGAAGTTGCTGTCTCTACCCAGACATGCTGAATAGGACTGTGGAACAGTGTCTGGGCACCAGTGCAGCGTTGTCTCTGTGCTGTTCCATGTATAGCTCCAGCACAGTGCTGTCAGCATCATGGTGAGCTTGGCAGAGCCAGACTAGGTCTGCAGTGATGGTTTGATAGATCCAAAATGTCTGATTCTAAGAAAACTGGGGGTGTTCAAGCAGCTCAGTAGTTAAACTTAAGTGTAATTTAATAATTTTGAGGCAGAGAGGGGAGAACCAAAGAAAATATGTTGTTGTTTTGAAAAATATCAGCTAGAGTCTGTTAGATGTCAGAGACAGAGCATAAAAACAAAGGTAATTTTATTTGACTCCTGTGAGTTTTATATGTGTAATACTGCTGGTAATTCCTGATATGTGAATTGCTGGCAGTTCAGTAGAGCAGTGAGCACTGTACTGCCGAAGGAGCTCTGTGTAAAAGCTTTGCAGGCAGACACCTGGGAATCCAGCTTTGAAATACTTATACAAAACCACTACCAAAAATAGTCACTATAGCCAAACCAGGAGTTTGTTCAGAGTGATCTGAACACAGTAACCAGGAACTCCTGAGTAACACCATGCAGAAGACAGCCCTGAAGGAGATTTCTTAGGGGTCTGAATGCAGTCTGCCATTGCAGGGCAGCTTCCATACACATTTCTACAGTGAGCTGACCCTGGATGGGAACTGAGAGTGCTGCTGCTTTCCTATGCTCTGTCCTTTCTGTAGTTTCCTTTGCTGATCATCAGCTATCTGTAATCACTTCTTGCTGCTGCTCATGTCAGGTAATACCTGAACAGAAATGAAAGAGTCATGACTTGCCCTGGCTTTATGTTTGGAGGAAGCACTGCTTTTGGGGTGCAGGGGATAGTGGTGCAGCAGCACAAGACTTTCTCCTTTAGCACAGACTCAACAGCAGCCCTGTAACCAGAGGAAACAGTCCCACAGAGAGGTAGCCTCAGTGTTTACATATACAATGGTGCTTAAGGAGTCATGTATTTATATATGTGTTTATATTTGTACAAGCAGAAGACAAAACACACGAGACTTTCTACTGGAGATTAGTGTGCTCCCCATGATGTTTTGTGGCCAGCAGGATTTTAAAAAAGAGCAGAAATTGAAAGGCCAATGAAAAAGCATGGTTAATTAAATGTGAAAGGTGTTGTCCTTGTTTGGACTGTCTGTTAATGGTATGACAAGCCCTGGTAAAGAGCTTAGCTGGCCAGATTAAAATTAAAAAATTGTGTCAGTCCATCTGCTAGCTCCAAGGAGTCTACTTCAATCACCTTTTCTTGTTTCTCCACTAAAGCAGAAAAGTGTCTTTGAAAAGAGCAGAGCCAGGATGTATTGGTTGACTTTTTTTACCTAGTGCTTTCTCCAAAGATAACGATATGTGACATCAAGACGTTTTCAAGAAGTGCAATGCTCTTGGTTGGGTCAAGGCTACGGTAAAGACAAAAAGACAACAGCTCTTTTGCTAAAAGGAATTGGGATTATTTTGCTTTTATATTTTATTTTTTTTTTTACACAAATAAATATGTTTGGCTTCGTGTGGAAAATCTTTCTTTGCCTTCCGGGAATGATTAACACAGATCTTCAAACAGTTGCAGGTAATGCAGACGTCTTTCTTATGTTCTTGTTTACAAAATTAGCTATGGCATGGATAGAATTAGAAACACCTCTCTGATTTAATTGTAACAAAGGGGGCTAATACCGAAAAATGTTTGGTCAAATCTGTGCTGTGATAGCAGTGTAAATATGGAATACTTAGACTGATTTCCAAGTGGCATAACTGCATGTTTGTCTTGCCTTGAGTGTAGAATTAGCTATAGGAGGCAATTTTTTTCAACTTTGAGATGTTAAATGCTGGTGATCTTTTCACTTTTCTTTTTCCTTTATTAATTTTGTATTAAATCTTAAAAAGTAAGATTCTGTCTTCTGCATGTGGGCACTGAGTATGTATCAGTTTGGGTAAAGATTGGAGGTTTGCCTTAGATGTTTTTTGATGTTCTTTCTGCATCTGCTGTACTATCTGGTGATCTTCTGCAACAGAGGGGATTATTAATATACCATCAAAATAACCATGCCTTTCATCTTTCAGTCATAAAAGTCAAAGGTCTACTGACTATGAAGCTGCAGAATAAACCCGTAATCTATTGGATGACAAATGCCATAGAGTTATTACTATTCCTTCTCTAATAAATGATTGGTTGTGATTGTTTTTCAGGCATGTTTTCCAGGAAAAAGTGAAAGAAATTGAGCTAAATAATTTCAGATCAACTGACTTTAAAGGGTGTAAAATTAGACTGTCAGACTAAATCTCAATATACATGTTCTTACCTCAGCTGTTTCCTCAAGTTTCCTCTGGAATGATGTGGAACATCTAATATAAAAGGGAATTAAAACCAAAACACACATGCACGCAAACCCCCCCCCCCAAAAACCAAAAAAAAACACCACCAAAAAAATCCCAACATAAAGTTGATGAGGCCTTTTATTCCTCTTTTTCACCCCCTTCTGTAGTAGAGTGGAGACCTGTCTCTACTGATGAAGTGTCAATTCAAGCAGCTTTCTTTTTGCAAGGTGTAAAAATCTGTTATGGAAAGAAAGTAGGGAGTAGGATTATTTCTCAATTGTTTCTTTTAATTCTGAAAAGCCCTGAAAGCTTCCAAATACATGTTTGTTCACAAATATGGTCCCATTGCCTTAAGCCTAATGGCAGATCGAAAGTTAAACACAAGGCATTAGAATTCAAAGGGTTAGAGACTTATGCTATTTTACCATTTGATGGGATATTGTAAAGAGCTTAAGGTTGTTTATAACATCACAGTCAGGGACAGGTTCTGTTAACAGAAAAAAGCACAGCAGTCTCCTTCAGAGACCACAGAAGTGGCATGAAGATAGGGATGGTTGCATCATTATCTCATCTGAGAAATTTGTGTGGTTTTAAATTCACAGCTGCAGGAGGAGGACAGGCTAAAGAGGTTTCACCAGCCCCTCAGCTCAGTGACTTGCAGTTGGTAAACCCTTCTCTGCCTCCTGGCTTGGAAAAGCCTCATGGCATCATGGATGCTGAGCAGTTCCACAGGCACGTGCAGCTACGGAGGAAGCGATCCATTCTCTTTCCCAGCGGAGTTAAGATCTGCCCTGATGAATCTGTTGAGCAGGCTATTGCAAACCATCTCAAGTATTTCAGGCTCAGAGGTAAGTACATCTCATGGGTAATTGATAAAGAACATTCACTTATTAAACAATAGCTCAAGCTTTTAAACATAATACATACCAGGCCATAGGAAATACATCAGTACTGGTGAAACTTACTTTTCTGTGATAATCTTACTTATGAGCGCTGTTTGGGCTAAAACCCCACCACTATCTGTCTACACTCATGTATCATAAGAACTCTTGCTCCCTGAAACTGCATTGTCTACTAAAATAATCCTTTCTCAGAACAATTTGAATGCTAAGAAAAATAGAGAGTCTGCTAAATTACAGAGTTTGTTTGGTTTATTTAGTGTTCTTAAAGTGCCAGCAGAAGTCTTTGTGGGGCCAATCAGAAAAGTTAAGTCTGAGACACTGGCACTTCAGCCATGTGACTTTTGGCTGTGGCTGGTTGTACAGAGTGTGCAATCTCTGTGTGTCAGGGTGTAGTATAATGGACAAGCAACCTTTCTTTTAAGATGTGGGAGTTGGTGTGGCACAGCTTTCTCTGCAGAGCTTGCCATATTCCTGCAAATATCTTCTTTCACTTGATGAAATATTGCAGTAACTTGATGTGTTTCAAACCCTTCTGTGTGACTGCATTGGAATGGGGCATCACAGTCATGCAGCACTTTCTGCTCTTTGTATCATAGAATTCAAACAATTTGTAGTTATCTTAATGTGTCTGTACAAAACTCGCAAAATGACAGAGCTGCTGTCAGAGTAGAAGGAAGGGTGTTCAGAGTCATGTTTGATGATATTTGATTGCCTATAGAGAAACTCTCACTGGTGAGAGTTTATTTGCTTAGACAAGTGAAAAACACTGACAGCCATGAGTTGCCCAGTGTGTGCATAAAAATAAACATAAGCAATGTATTTGGAGAACAAAGTGGAGTTATATGGGGTTTTACAGCCTCATTCAAATATGAATTGTGCCCAGCTTGCAAGGGATGTTGACACTAATGATGCTGATGGTTTGACAGGCTTTGCCAGTTTCTTATTTCCACCCAGGAGGACTCAATCATTCTTTGTTTGTTCCAAGTGATCCATACATACCATGGGCTTTACCTGCAGTCACCTCTCAGTTTTCTGTGGTAGGGGTACATTAGGGCAATACCAACTAAGCAAAGGTGTGAGTGATAATAAAGAAGAAAGAAATCTGTAAATTAGGTTGCAAAAGTATATTTAGATCTTAATAATCCTAGGCTGAACCAAAAATCCACCTAGTCCATCTGTTTCCTTACTGGATTTAACAGCTTTCACAATCCACAAGGTTTTCTTGAGCAGAGAGGCTGTGATTACCATTAGTGCTTTTAAGTTAAAATTTTTGAAAAAGATCTCTGAAAATGATAGAGGTGACTAATTAGCAGCAAGTCACACAAGGTCTGATTCAAGCAACTTGTCATTTTCATTCTGTCAGCAGCAGCTGCTGCTCCAGGAGTGTTGGGTGGTGTCTAATGATGTCCTGAGCAGGCACCTGAGGTCATGAGAGTTCATGTGCTGTGTGTTGGGTTTGTGTGGCAAAACTTTGGTAGCAGAGGGCTACAAGGGTCACTTCTCTGAGAAGCTGCCAGAAGCTTCCCCTATACCAACACAGCCAAGGACAACTGGCTCTGCTGGTCAAGGCCAATCCCATCAGAAAAAGTGGTTGCACCTCTGGGGTAAAATATTTGAGAAGGAAAAAGTTGCACAGCAGCAATTGCAGGTGAAAGAGAAGAGGGGAAATAAAAGAGAGAAACAGCTTTGCAGACACCAAAGTGAGTGAAGGAGGAGGTGCTGCAGGTGCCAGAGCAGGGGTTCCCCTGCAGCCTGTGGTGCAGATCATGGTGGTCAATGGAACTGCAGAGATCCACCTGCAGCCCATGCAGGACCCCATGCCAGAGCAGGGGGATGCCCATAGGAGGCTGGGACCCCATGGGAAGCCCACACTGGAGCAGGCATTTGGCAGGAGCTGTGGCTCCACAGAGAGAGGAGCCCACACTGAGAGAGGAGCAGGTTTGCTGGCAGGACTTGTGACCCCATGGGAATCTGTTCCTGAAGGACTTGCTCCCCACGGGAGGAACCCACACTGGAGCAGCCTGTGAAGAACTGCAGCCCATGGAAAGGACTGATATTTGAGAAGTTAGGAAAGAACTGTTTCCCATGGGAGAGGCCTCACACTGGAGCAGGGGAAGAGTGTGAGGAGTCCTCCCCCTGAGGGGGAAGTAGTGGCAGAGACTGCAGTGATGAACTGACCACAGCCCCACTCCCCCATTCCCCTGCACCACTGTAGGTGAGGAGTTAGAGAAAATCAGGAGTGAAGTTAAGCCTGAGAAGAAGGGAGGAGTGAAGGGAAGGTGTTTCATGATTTGGTTTCATTTCTCCATGTCCTGCTCAGATTTGATTGGTAACAAATTCAAGGAATATCCCCAAGTTGAATCTGTCTTGACAGAATGTCGTGAGTGATCTCTCACTGTGTCCTTATCTCAACCCATGAGACTTTTGTTAAGTTTTCTCTCCTTTGTCCAGCTGAAGAGTGGAGTGATGAAGCAGGTTTGATGATGTCTGAATTCAGTGTTACTGAATTATGTGCAAAGTTTCTAGTGGCCATCCAGATAGCCACAGTCCATTGTCAACAAAATAATCCTAGGAAAAAGTGTGGTCACTGTTTAACACTCAGAGACCAGCTACTCTGGGTCACTAGGAAAACAACTGACTCCAGAAGGAATAAATATAAATGTACACAGAATCTGCTGATTTTTCAATCTCAGTGTGTATTGCTAGATTTTTTTTTTTTTTTAATTCTGTATATGTTGAAGTAAGAAAAGACTTCAATATCAATATATACTTTCTCTGGAAAGGATGGTTCTAAAGTCTATTCTTCCCTTGGTTTTGCTGTACTGCCAGCAGTACCATGCCACTACGTCGGAAGGAAAGGCAGATTGTATTGTGATGTAAGAGCTTGAAAATAAGAAAAGGTTTGCATGTGCTGATTATCCAGATTGTCTGTTCTATCTGTGTCTACCTTAGAAGGAAACAGGTGGGAATATAATTATCTGTCTGTAGCTCCTATAGCCTTATTTACTTTTGCTAGCTGGAAAAAGCCTCTCTAAGTATCAGAGACTGACAGATGAATATTCCTGTCATGGGCTTTAAGGAAGTGCTTCTGTCCCATTGCTGTAGGCTTAACAGTGTACAGCTTTTTTGCCTTTTTTTTTTTTCTGGTTACAACATCTGGACTTTTTGAGCCTTAAAAAGCTACAAGATGAAGAATATGATAAATACATAATAAACCATTAAAAAATATCAAAGTGCAACAAAATACAGGGATCCAGAGAAAAATCAGTATTTTCTAAACCAGCAGTATCACACTTCAATATATGAAAGTCTAATTAATGATATGATTATTGGTGGTTGTTTTATTACTGTGGTATTCACAAGCAGCAGCTTGGAATGGGGTGGGTTGTACTTTTCTACACTTGCAGTCTACAAGACAAATTTCTAAAGTGCTGCTTTATTCCTACAGTCAGAACAGAGTTTTGCAGTAGCAGATGATGCTATTTTTACTCTTTTGAGACGAATCCTGGATTATGATTGTCTCTGTACTGCCCTGTCTGTGTATCTCGTGTAGCTATGTAAGGAGGTTGCTGCCATTGGCTCTTTGTATTTCATTTTTTGGAATGTGGGAGTGGAAATCAGTCATAATTTTTTTACAGACTGGGTACTGTAGGGTCTTAGAGTGTTTGTGAGTGTCCTTTTAAATGGTGTAACGTTATGGCTGCTGATGGAAGAGTCATGTAAATGTAATGGTGGTTGGTTCATTACTAGACTGTTGGGACAAACACAAAGTGTGTCCAATGGCAGCTGGAGATTCTGCAAAAAAAATGTTGTGGAAATCTAATAGTGTGATTTCAGACAGTGAATGGGCTGTACATGTTAGTGTCTGGTATGATGCTCTTTGCTGACAGGGAAATGGTAGCCTGAGGAATAGATAAATAAAATTTATTCAGAAAAAGCAGGCACACCCACTCAGACCAAGCCTTTTGTGACCAGTTACCTTACATGCACAATTCAGTGAATTTGTCCATTCTCTGTTGGGTAAGTTGTTGGTAGAGGATTTTAGTAGTTGAATTAGCATGTAAAACAGAAACAAAATAAGGATTACAAGACGGGTAAGCAGTACAAGCCATGCTATCCCATGCCTCTTAATTGGGCTGCTGGATTTTATCACCACGGCTCAGGGTAATATGCTTCTTTGCCACCTCTGAGATGTAATTACTCTGGTGGCTACCTTCCTAAATTCTCTTTACAATTTTACCCTACTGTGAACTTCTGTCTTAAACTATCAGTGTATGTTGTGAGTACTTTTTATTTTTTTTTTATTTTCTTTGTGGGCACTGACCTTTTCACATGAGTAGATCAGATAGTCTCTCTGCCAGAGCTGTTCTTGTCATCCAGAGCTTCAGATAAGCCAAACATCTAAGGATAGCTTTTAAAGACTGTTTCCTTTTAAAGGAAATAGATGATATTGCAGTGAGCTGTAGCTGATGAGACACATGGACATTTTTGAACTTTGGAAAGAATTCCTGTTTCTAGGGAATTAAATTCTATGCATGAATGTGATCCCTAGATTGGGCATAGCACTATGCCTGCTCAGTTCCCCCTTTCTTTGGTCCCTTAAAATCTGTTTGCTGAAGTATTAGAAATAATGGTGTTATTTTCTGCACATGAACATAATCAAGAGTAAACTTTCAAATGAACATAGTTAAGAGTAAAGTTTCAATTTGATACTGAAGTCATAATGTTACAAGTTATTCAGATCTTGGTAATGATGATGAAAGCAAAGAGCCAAAAGTCATGAAAAGTACCTGGCAAAAACCAGGTACTGGTTTAAATAAAGAATCTGTCTGAGTGAGCCTTTTTTCCCTGTTTCTCCTGCATCCCTGGCACATATTACATGTACCTCGTACTCAGCAATGAGTTTCTGAAGTTTATTTGTAAAAGGTCCATCTCCTCTACATTTG